TTCTATTTCCTTGGGTTGTCTCTGTGTCATACTAAAATTGGTTTGATGATCTGAAACCTTTGTGTGTGATAAATATGCAAAAAACACAGAAATCAGGAAGGGGGCAAATACTTTTTCACAGCACTGTATATTGGGTTATAGGTAGCTCTTCTAGTGAAGCAGAACAGATGGACTGGGACTGACCAACATAAAGGATAGTTTTGGAGGGTTACTAATAAATCTGACTAAATCAGTCTCAGTCAATCTGCCTGAGGACATACTCCGGCAACTGTTTGTTATATAATCTTTAAAATAAACTTCTTTGACAATAATCTCATCTGATCTGTGTCTTTTGTGTGTTTCTCTTAGAGGACACATCTGGAGAAAACTGATCTAATACAGAGACATCCTTCATCATTTTGGATGTGTCGAAACATGTCACTTTTAATTGAATGTTTTTTCCCCACTTACTGTTATATTAGAGCTTTAAATTGATTGTTAGTCAGCATCATCACATTGACCTGCACTGTGTACCATGTTAGCGCTAGATAGACACAAAGATAATGAAAGTGTTTTTTGGGCTCTGAGGATAAAATAAGTTTTGTCTTTGTCTCTTCTGACAGTGTTGCCTAATCTCTCAATGTGGTTTACATTTTCCAGTTTTCCTGCTGTGGAGGAGATGACTACAAAGACTGGGTAGTCAACCAGTACCATTTCTGCAATGGTACTGGTCCACTAGCCTGTGGGGTTCCTTACACATGCTGTATTCACCACGAGGTCAGTGCTCGTCTCACAGTAACAAGTGATTGTTGTATGTAAGGTTCAGTCTCAGTTCACACATGTTCACACTAAAACACACTTCTTGTCACTTCATTAAACTGCTCCATTCAGCTGGTCACTAGTCACACATGCAATCAGTATAGAGGCAGGTGCAAGAAAACTTATTAAAGTTCAGACCAGGCATCAGAAGAAGGAAGGTGATTTAAGTGACACTCGCAGCTAAACAGTCTGGTTTGGGATTTTGTCATCACAATCATCTGCTTACAGAAAATGTCAAAAATATCCAGTGAGCAAAAGAAGCTAGGTTTAAATTGTTACAAATAAAAATGTATTTTTCACATTGTAACAGGTGGGTTTTCCCTTGACACACACGTCGACACAGATGACAGTTCAACAGCATTTATTTTAGTATATTCTCAAGCGCTGCTGCGCCGTGCTTGGCTTTTCTGTTGCTCTTTTTGTTTCCACACCTCTCCCCTCTCGGTCCTAGCTCCTACTAATTTAAGGAGAGGCTTGATTACTCGAATTGCGCTCACCTGGGTGCGGGGCTGCACCTCCATACCGAGCCTCACAATCAGACAGCTTGTGGCTGATGTACACCACGAGCCGGTCGGTCCCCCGCACCCGCTGGGACAACACCGCCCCCAGCCGGGTGCTTGACCCGTCTGTCTGCAACATAAAGGGGAGAGCAAAATTATGTGTAAATAGGAGTGGCTTACCGCAGAGGGCCCTCTTCAGCTCAAACGCCTGCTGACACCAAGCACTCTTGCGGGTCAGATCTGTCAAGGGGCTGGCCAGGTCAGCGACTCGTGGGATGAAGCGCTGATAATACCCCACCAGCCCCAGGAACTGTCTCACCTCTTTTTTTGACTTGGGCTGCAGACAGGATGCAATGGCTGCTGCTTTATCTACCTGTGGCCGCACCCGTCCGCTGCCCAAGCAGTGCCCCAAATACCGTACCTCCCTCTGTCTAACTGCACACTTCCCTGGGTTAGCTGTGAGCCCCGCCTGCCTCAGAGACTCCAGCACCGCTGCCACCCGCATGTGGTCTGCCCAGCTGCCGCTATGGATGAAAACATCATCCAGATAAGCGGCAGCGTATGCAGCATACGGCTGCAGGACTTAGTGGAGAAAGCCTGAATGGGAGTAGCACTAACACCCTATCCCCTGGCACAAAGTGCCACAGTCTAGCCCCCTGTCATACAGGCGCCGCTGTCGCTCCTGGGCCCTGAGCAAATTCACCCTGTGATTCTTGCCCAAGTGCGTGGAGCTTTGTACTAAGGTCCAGGACGTTTTTTTTTTTTTCAGGACCTGAATTTTGTTTGTACTGGCGCTCAGACCTTCCTCCCAGTTTTCTTTAATTAAGTCCAACACGTTCCTTGGCTTTCTGCCGAACAACAATTCGAAGGGAGAAAATCCTGTGGAGGCCTGGGGCACCTCCCGCACTGCAAACAATAGAGGGTCTAGCCACTTAACCCTGCTTGGACTGTCCTCCTGAATGAACTTATGAATCATGGACTTCAAGGTTTTATTCAGACGCTCCACCAATCCATCAGTCTGAGGATGGTAAACGCTGGTCCGAATAGACTTAATGCCCAGTAACCCATACAGTTATTTCAGGGTTTGTGACATAAACGATGTTCCCTGGTCTGTCAGGATCTCCTTCGGGATCCCGACCTGCGAGATGATCTGGAAAAGTGCATTAGCAACACTCCTTGAGGAGATGTTACAAAATGCCATGGCTTCTGGATATCTCGTGACATAATCTATCACCACCAGGGCAAACCGGTATCCTCGGACACTGCAGTGAAAAGGCCCCTATCCGATCGAATGGGACTTCCATAAGTGGCGACAGCCCCAGGGTGCTCGAGGCGTGGCGGGTGGATTTACTCTCTGGCACTCGGGGCATGACGCACAAAAACGGCGCACATCTCCCCGAATGCCAGGTCAATAAAATCTATGTGTTATGCAGTCCAGAATCTCCGGTGACTCCTCGGTACCATCAGCTGAGCACACTGCCGCTGCCCTGCGCATCCTAGCACACTCTGTACAACCCGTCCCTGATCATCACAAAATAAGGAAATAATAGTGTGGTACCCGGCCGCACCAGTCTTCCCTCCATTTTGGCCACTTGGTCAAAGGCAGCTCGCAGTGTCGTCTTGTGTCTGCTCTAGAGGGAAATTCTCTGTCGCGATCATGCTGAACCATGTAATGACTACAGATTATATTAACTCATGACCTGTTCAGGTTTACTTCACTGTTAATCCATCATGAGATTAAAATGCTGTATATTTAGTTACAATGTTTGTTGCTCTTAATCTCTTACGAAATTATACGTACATTTTACGTATGAGATTGTGCTGCTCAAATATATGGAGAGTTCAGATGTTGTCCTGCATCTGTTGTGCTGTTCTAATACTGACCAAAAGGCTGGGTCACACAAATATGTTCTGTGAAATGTTCCTTCCATGGGATCCATCCATCCATCCATTTTCATCTGCTTATCCGTTACCGGGTCGCGGGGGCAGCAGTCGCCACCCAAATCACACTGCACCGTACCAACCGCCCTAAGGCTTTCTGCCGAACAACAATTCGAAGGGAGAAAATCCTGTGGAGGCCTGGGGCACCTCCCGCACTGCAAACAATAGAGGGTCTAGCCACTTAACCCTGCTTGGACTGTCCTCCTGAATGAACTTATGAATCATGGACTTCAAGGTTTTATTCAGACGCTCCACCAATCCATCAGTCTGAGGATGGTAAACGCTGGTCCGAATAGACTTAATGCCCAGTAACCCATACAGTTATTTCAGGGTTTGTGACATAAACGATGTTCCCTGGTCTGTCAGGATCTCCTTCGGGATCCCGACCTGCGAGATGATCTGGAAAAGTGCATTAGCAACACTCCTTGAGGAGATGTTACAAAATGCCATGGCTTCTGGATATCTCGTGACATAATCTATCACCACCAGGGCAAACCGGTATCCTCGGACACTGCAGTGAAAAGGCCCCTATCCGATCGAATGGGACTTCCATAAGTGGCGACAGCCCCAGGGTGCTCGAGGCGTGGCGGGTGGATTTACTCTCTGGCACTCGGGGCATGACGCACAAAAACGGCGCACATCTCCCCGAATGCCAGGTCAATAAAATCTATGTGTTATGCAGTCCAGAATCTCCGGTGACTCCTCGGTACCATCAGCTGAGCACACTGCCGCTGCCCTGCGCATCCTAGCACACTCTGTACAACCCGTCCCTGATCATCACAAAATAAGGAAATAATAGTGTGGTACCCGGCCGCACCAGTCTTCCCTCCATTTTGGCCACTTGGTCAAAGGCAGCTCGCAGTGTCGTCTTGTGTCTGCTCTAGAGGGAAATTCTCTGTCGCGATCATGCTGAACCATGTAATGACTACAGATTATATTAACTCATGACCTGTTCAGGTTTACTTCACTGTTAATCCATCATGAGATTAAAATGCTGTATATTTAGTTACAATGTTTGTTGCTCTTAATCTCTTACGAAATTATACGTACATTTTACGTATGAGATTGTGCTGCTCAAATATATGGAGAGTTCAGATGTTGTCCTGCATCTGTTGTGCTGTTCTAATACTGACCAAAAGGCTGGGTCACACAAATATGTTCTGTGAAATGTTCCTTCCATGGGATCCATCCATCCATCCATTTTCATCTGCTTATCCGTTACCGGGTCGCGGGGGCAGCAGTCGCCACCCAAATCACACTGCACCGTACCAACCGCCCTAAACCTTCCTGCGGGTGGTGAGTCCACTGGAAGGTACCAACCGGGATTCGAACTTGCCCAGGAGGTAAACCCTGGGGTTCCACACCAATGACCAAAGTTGTTTCGTGTGGTGGCAGGTCTCTTCTGTTTGCCAGGGCCTGGGCTGAGGTTGTGTTTTTAAATGAAAAGCTGTCACCTGGTCTTCAATGTCTCTGCTGTGCCTCACAATTCACCACTGCTTTATACACATGTATTCATTGGACATATAGGAGCTGATTAGAAAGTTAATTTGAACATTGGCCAGGCTCTTATTAGTTTCTTCCTGTCGGGATTGGAACCGTTTTGTAAACGTCAAGTTCTCACTCTGGCGGGCAGTGGACAGCTGCACTCCTTTTGTAAGGAACATTATATCTTCCCAGGGAGTTCTCTGTGGCCATCTGAGCCCAGTTAAAGCACTCATCTCTATCTAATATATGGTGTCTTTGTGCAGGTTGGAGAGGTCATCAACACTCTGTGTGGTTACCAGACTCTAATGAAAGAGGTAAGCTCTCATTTTACTCATTGTAAGCACTGTATGAATGAAGAGCACAGCTCACATATGCGTGTTATATCATTGATAAATATTATTGACGATTAACTTGTGAGCTGTGTGGTTGCAAATATTATGTCACAGAATGAACTCTAGCTCTGTCCTGTTCTCTTTTGCTAACTTTTGTTAGTACGTTTGTTGTTTTAGCCATCATTTAGCAAATTATGCTATTTTGGCTTTTACCTGTTTCTAATGTGTATTCAAGTAAATGAGGGAAAAGACGAACATAATGCTTACTGTGACAAGTATTTCAGTGATTTAAGTTTAAAGAAGTCAGTTTAATGTGTGGGAAAAAAGTTGTCTGCATATCTACCCCTTGTCTTCTTCTTTTTCTTTCTTTTGGCTTTGTCCCTTTTTTTTCAGGGGTTGCCACAGAAAATCATTGATTCCCATCTCTCCCTGTTCTCTGTATTTTCTACTCTGACTCCAACTATCTACATGTCCTCCCTCACTACATCCATATATCTCCTCTTTGGCCTTCCTCTCTTTCTCCTACGTGGTAGCTCCATCTCTAACATTCTTCTACCGATGTATCCACTGTCCCTCCTCTGCACATGTCCAAACCATCTCAATCTGGCTTTTTCTCCAAACCTTCCTGTCTGTGTTGTCCCTCTAATGACCTCATTCCTGATCCTGTCCATTCTTGTCACTTCTAAAGAGAATCTTAGCATCTTTAACTCTGCCACCTCCAGCTCCGCCTCCTGTCTTCTGCCTATTGCTACTGTCTCTAAACCATACATCATGGCTGGTCTCACCACCATCCTGTAAACCTTTCCCTTCACCTTAGCTGACACTCTTCTATCACAGATCACTCCTGACACTTTTCTCCAGCTGTTCCATCCTGCCTGTACTCTATTCTTCACCTCTCTTCCACAGTCTCCGCTGCTCTGAACAGTTGATCCTAAGTACCTAAACTCCTGCACCTTCACCACCTCTGCTCCTTGTAGCCTCACTATTTCACTGTTCTGCCTTTCGTTTACACACATGTACTCTGTCTTGCTGCGACTGACCTTCATTCCTCTTCTTTCTAGTGCAAACCTCCACCTCTCTAGGTTCTCTTCTAGCTGCTGCCTACTCTCACTACAGATCACAATGTCATCTGCAAACATCATAGTCCATGGGGACTCCTGTCTGACCTCATCTGTCAATCTGTCCATCACCACAGCAAACAAGAAGGGGCTCAGGGCCGATCCTTGATGTAGTCCCACCTCCACTTTGAAGTCTTCTGTCCTCCCAACAGCGCACCTCACTACTGTTGTACTATTCTCATACATGTCCTGCACCAAACTAACATACTTCTCTGCCACTCCTGACTTCCTCATACAAAACCACAATTCCTCCCTTGGCACTTTGTCATATGCCTTTTCTAGATCTACAAATACACAATGCAGCTCCTTCTGACCTTCCCTGTACTTCTCCATCAACATCCTCAAGGCAAATATTGCATCTGTGGTACTCTTCCTAGGCATGAAACCATACTGTTGTTCACAAATCTCCACTTCCTGCCTCAACCTAGCTTCAACTACTCGTTCCCAAATCTTCATTGTATGGCTCATCAACTTTATCCCTCTGTAGTTGTTACAACTCTGTGCATCACCCTTCTTATGAATTGGCACCAGAACACTTTTTCTCCACTCATCAGGCATCTTGCCAGTCTCTAAAATTCTGTTAAACAAACCAGTCAGGAAATTTACTGCCACTTCTCCTAAACACTTCCATACTTCCACTGGTATGTCATCAGGACCAACTGACTTTCCACTCTTCATCCTCTTCAGGGCTTTTCTAACTTCATCCTTTCTAACCTGATCTACCTTCTTCCTACTAGTCTCTGGCTCCTCGTTTCTACTTTCCCTTTCATTTTCCTCATTTAACAACTCCTCAAAGTATTCCTTCCATCTTCTCAGCACACTTTCCTCACTTGTGATCACATTCCCCTCTCTGTCCTTAATCAACCTCACCTGCTGCACATCCTTCCCAGCTTGATTTCTCTGTCTCGCCAATCTATACAACTCCTTTTCTCCTTCCTTTGTTTCCAAACTCTCATACAACTCCTCATATGCCTTTTGTTTGGCCTTGGCCACTTCCCTCTTCACCTCCCTTGTCCTCTCTTTGTACTCCAGTCTGTTCTCTTCTGTTCTGTCACTGTCCCATCTCTTCTTCGCTAATCTCTTTCTCTGCACACTCTCCTGGATCTCCTCATTCCACCACCAGGTCTCTTTGTCCTCCTTTCTCTGCCCAGAGGACATACCTAGCACCTTCCTACCTGTCTCCCTCATCACTGCAGCTGTAGTCTCCCAATCATCTGGGAATATCTCAACACTACCCAGAACTGCCCTTACTTCCTTCCTGAAGTCTTCACAACATGTCTCTTTCCTTAGTTTCCACCACTTGATCTTCTGCTCTGTCTTCACTCTCTTCCTTTTTGTCACCTCCATCGTCATTTTACACACTACCATCCGATGTTGTTTGGCTACACTCTCACCTGCCACCACCTTACAGTCTCTAATCTCCCTCAGATTACATCTTCTACATAGAATATAATCTATCTGTGTGGACCTGCCTCCACTCTTGTAAGTCACCCTATGTTCCTCTTTCTTTTGGAAATATGTGTTTACCACAGCCATTTCCATTCTCTTTGCAAAATCTACCACTGCCTGTCCTTCTACGTTTCTCTCCCTAACACCAAACCTGCCTATCACTTCCTCATCTCCTCTGTTCCCTTCCCCTACATGACCATTTAGGTCTGCTCCAATCACCACTCTCTCTCTCCTGGGGATACTCTCTACCATCCAATCTAGCTCCTTCCAGAACTTCTCCTTTTCTTCCAACTCACAGCCCACCTGTGGGGCATAACCACTAACAACATTAATCATCTCTCCTTCTACTTCTACCTTCACACACATCAACCTGTCTGACTCTCTTTTCACCTCTACCACATTTCTTACATATTCTTCCTTTAGGATCACCCCTACTCCATTTCTCTTCCCATCTGAACCATGATAAAACAGTTTGTAGCCTCCTCCAATGTTTCTAGCCTTACTGCCCTTCCACCTGGTCTCCTGCACACACAAAATATCTACTCTTCTTCTCTCCATCACATCAGCTATTTCTCTACTTTTCCCTGTCATTGTACCTACATTCAAAGTTCCAAACTTCAGACTAACACTTCTATTCTTCATCTTTTCTTTTTCTCCTAACCAAACGCCCTCCTCTTCTTCTCTGTCTCGATGTGTTTTGATTACACTAAATATTTGAAAAGCCAAAAATAAATGTGTTCAAATGCTGTGCATCACCAACGTACAAATTCAACATGACATTGAATCAAATAAATCACAAATTTGTGCATCTTTACTCAAATTCTTTTGACACATTGATTACTTTTCTGACACTCGCAGTTAGTCACAGTTTCTCTGTGACAGTAGTAATCTCCGATAGCCCGAGAGACGATGTAGTCGCAAACACTTTTCTTTCCCCAAAATGCTGTGAATTTACAATTTTCTATTTTTCTCCTTAAGTCTTTTTAGTTTCAGGGTTTAAAAGTTTACAAAAAAGTACTTTTTTTTCTCCTCTGTTTCCCAGCGTGAAGCCCTGCAGGACTTGATCCATGTGCGAGGTTGCATCCATGCAGTCAACCTGTGGATGAGTGACAACATTGGAATCACCATTGCTCTGTGCTGTGCCATCGGGGTGCCACAGGTAATTTACCATGTCGTTAACTAACCACCACCTGTTGAAAACTCCACTGTTAAAAGACCACCTCACATTCAATTAGTCACTGTACAAAGCTGTGTGGGTAAAAGTTCACAATTTAATTTTTCAAACAATTCATTCCAGACTCATTTTAATACAGTCTTTTTCTCTATGGACTAAATTTACAATAGACCTAGCTGGCCAGGCCGGTGCCCCTCTCAGAGGAGAGTGATTACAGTAATTACTCTGGCAAAGTGGCTGCTTAAATATGCTTAAATGCTTAAATAAGGGACTCAGTTAAAAAAGAAAGTTTGAAATACTACCTACAGCTGTATTTGAGTAAATACTTGTAGATTGGTGTCAAGTGTTGGGTGCATTATCTGATGCCTAATCTAGTTATTTAGTCAGTATTGGCGCAGATAGACAATCTTAATATCTGATTCGTGTATCCTAATCTTTTATCTGGTAACATTTTTAACCTTTTCTCACAATTATGACGTTATTTTCATCATGTGATATTTTCTGCAATTATTTTGCCTTTTTGTCTGATTTTCAATTTACATAATATTATGATTTTTTTTCCTGCCAAGACTGAATTTTCTCACTGCTTCTTTCTTATATCTTTTATATCTATACACACATATACAAATTTAAATTCCGGCGGTTATTTGTGTCGTCTCCGTTTCTCTGCAGCTGCTAGGCATCATCTTAAGCTGCGTCTTCTGGAACCTGCTGGTGGACATGAGCGAGTCGGCCGACGTGGTGGATTTCAAGCTGAAGAAGGCTGAGTTCAATTACAGCGAGCTAGACCTGTCCGGTGCTGGCTGGTGCATGTGTCTGCCCAAGGATGGAGGCTACCTGCCCGTCCCTGCCTCTGAGCCAGCACTTGACCCCATTGACATCCACCTGCAAAAGTTGAAGAAGCAGCCTCCACGTACACACTCACAGCTCCGGGAGCTGCAGCAGTCCAGATCAGCTACTGGGCTAGACGAGGTGGACGGGGCGCGGAAACAGAAAAGGGAACACTGAGTAGGTTTTTTTTTTTTACCCCTTCTTGCCTTTGGGATTTTTTCTTTTTTCTGTCATTGTATTTGGTGCATTTATTGGTACTTAATGGTGGAAAATGTCATGTTTTTGGATCAAAATACTTTTACTCTGTGTTTTGGCACTTTGATCAATTTGTTTACAATTCCATTTAAATAGGTTGGCCCATTTTCTTTACAGACAGTTTAATTTGTCTGTTTTCACTGTTTTAATTTAAAGATTTTTATGGCATCATATAATTTTATTTATTTATTTTTATCCATTGATATTGAGCTAAATCTCGTGCTGAATTTTTACTTCAGGCTGTTTTGAAAATAGCCCCATATTCCGAGGACAGTTATATTTGTGTGTGCTTTAAATCTTAGGATGGAGGATTAGAAATAGACCAGTTTGTTTTGCGTGTAGCATCAGTGATGGATCTGTACAGTTTGAGTATCATTTCTGTTCATTATTATTTAGTGTTATTTGATTTTGTGCAGTCGATGTACATTGTAAGACTGACAGAAGAAGAAAACATGGTATGCATGTTTTGTACTGTAAAGTAAGTCAAATTAATTCGACATTGGTTTAAATTTAAAGCGGTTGGTCATGGGGGGGGGGGGGGGTAATTGTGAAAACCTTTATTTTAATCCTTTTGAAGAATCCAGGGGATCATCAAAAGTGCATTTTCAGTTAACTACTTTTTTTCTTTTTGTATCTGATTCATGCACTCTTTTGAACACTACTCCCCTGAACCCCCATCACACCTGCCTTGTATCAGCACTACTTGTCAATAAAGCTGAATTTGTCTACTGATTTTCCTATTGTGTCTGCCTTTATTTAAGAGAAAGCAAAATAGTTTTCTGATCTCATACTGTAAGAAAAGAGAAATGAAAAAGACAGAATTGCCTTTATCCACCTGAGCAGAAGACAAGAGAAGATACATTATGTTACTAGGCCACAGTAAATCATTTACATTATTAAGTAGTTATAAGTAGGTTATTGATAAATATAAATATGGATGCATTTTATCATTTATATTTTTGCCAAGCACTTTGATATATTTTCTTTGGTTGGCTTTTTCATCCCACAAAATTATTATATTTTAAAAATCTTAGGAAATACTGGATTTTTAATCAAACTTAAATGGAAATCTGATTTCCCAGAACTAAAAGAACAATAAACAGGTGCTTGTTTTGACCTGGTGCCAGATTCATAAAACATGGGACATGATGGAAAACTGTTCATTGTGCCAATGGGTGGTTTTGCCATGAGGTCTATAAGAGTGACGTGGGAGTTGTTTTACAGTCATTGGAAGGGCATGAATTTTAGGACACATCATCAGTAGTGTACCTTTGAGTCACCGGGTGTTTCGGCCTTTCAACACTTTTATTGGCCGATATCAGCTAGCATCGTCCAATCCTGCGCCATGGCTAGGTGGTCAGCTGCATCTGGTATTTTATTGGGATAGCTGGGCTTTTTTTTAGGTTTAAAAAAAAACATCAATTTTATAGAGACATACAGCGTTTATTGGAGTTTTGAAGCAAAGCTGAGAATGTGTCCACTAGAGGGCACTTGACAAGTTTCTACAAATATTGAGTGGTTAAGAAAAGGTTAGGAACCAATGAACCAGACTGTATTTGGTCCAACAGCTGACCTAAAATGGACTGTTAGGCCATCACGTGGCCCGTATCCCTTCCTTTTTTAACTTCAAGAGTGAGTTCTTTGTGTTTTTAGGGACGTCACGATTACTCGATATTAAGTTTAAAAATGCTACGTTTAATTTATCGTAAAGTTTCCTTAATACCATCAGAAAATAATATGCCAGAACTATAGTTAAGCGCAACTCAAACGAAAACAAAGTTCCACAACACCCGCTTGTTAGTTTGTTTTAGGTCTCTGCAAGTTGCAGAAGAGAGGCGTGACCAGGTGGGAAAATGGCAAAAGAAGAGTTATTCCCCCAATGCGTGCATTAAATCAGCAGTGTGTGATTATTTTTACCACAGAAGAAAATGACCAGGGTGTCGTCGTGGATGGCGGCTTGCCAGCATTGAACCTATAAAAATGCGGTGAGAGGAGGGAATACATCCAATATGTTTCATCCCCTGCAGGACAACCACCTGAGTTGATCGCAAAAGTAAAGGTAAATGCAGAGGAACTGGATTAAATAACGGCAATGCTTTCCTAATGTAACATTGAATTGGTAAAACATTAAATGTTAGCGTGTCATTTGCAAATAATTGTTTATGAGTACGACAGGGGTTCGGCTTTCAGTGCAAGTTACATGGCATTCACCGAATTTTACATAGGCTGTTGACATGAAAACATGGCTTGAGGGCAGTCTCTTTTTTAATTTAATTTAATTTAATTTAATTTAATCTTTTTTGTCAGACAGTGTCAGTGTGGAGTAACCTGTTGAACAAAACGCCATGTAGTGTGTTGTCATAGTCGTCAGTCTGTTGACATTTAGCATTAGCTCCTTTAGCTTTCTTCCATCTGTGAGTAAATGTTGGACTTGCACTTCCAGCACTATGAGATGTCCGTTTCGTTTATTATTAACTTGTGTCATTGTAATTTATATATAAAACAAACTAACCAGAATAACAGATACGTTTTATATGCGGCCACATAAAATTAGACAAATGATTAAATGATAAAACCAAATAAATATCTGGTATAGATCAGAATTGATTACCTAAATCAGGGGTCAACTTCAAGGGCACTTAGTAATACAGAGAGCTACTTGTTTGATACGTTCCCAAACAATGTAATAATAATTACTATAATTAGTTCTATTCTCTTCTTACCATCGTCAATGCACCCATTTGAATATCATTGCAGGTGTAACTGATTCAAAAAGCACAGTAACAGTACAATTTTTGACCCTCTTGTTGACTAGTTTATTTATAAGACATACCCCACGGGCACCTTAGGTAGTCCATGAGGGATACCTGGTGCCCCCGGGAACCACGTTGGTGACCCCTGACCTAAATCATTAAAACAATTCCCGTGAGTGTTAGGGACGTCAGGCTTTGGACCCAAATGCAACACATTGAGACTGAAAGTTCTTTTAAAATTTGACTCAGGGTTCAGCACGTATAAACACACGTGTATTGGCAGTGCAAAGTTCTTCAACAAAAAGTGTCTCCACTTGAAATAAAAGGAGGTCTCAGGAATAAGCGTGGAGTATTGATGATGAACACAGTCTTAGAACAAAGGAAGACTCCGCTTGGAGCAATAAGTCTCTTTGATTAACGTGATCTCTGCTTAGAGATCCCGTTGTTGAAGTAGCTACTTCCGCGTGTTAGGGAATCCCACAGGAGTGACGTCACCGCGGCGGATTCCCTCTGGGCAGCGGAACCAAAACAGGAGTGGAGAGGCAGAGCAGAAAACAGCAGACACTCTCCTCAACAAGACGGGACGACTCTCGTCCACAAAGCAGGTGAGAACGAGCGTGGATCGTCACAACAGGAACGGCTTGGGCAGCGGAAAAATCTCTACAACTGGAAACTGAACGAGGACGTGCAGCCCTCGCGAACAGATGAGACGATCTGACAGCGAGGAGTGTGAAGCTGCAGTTTAAAAACGCTGCTCGCTCATCAGCTGCAGCCCGTGTTCTTAAGTTTTTTTCCTACCTATAGTTTTTT